TGGCTCGCCTCCAGAAGGCCTCGGATCCGGGGCACCACAGTGCCCGAGGGTTTTCGGCACTTGGACGGCGACGCGGGCAGCAAGGACCCCACGGGGGGCGGGGGCGTTGTAGAGACGGCGGCCACCGCAGCCGCCTCCTCTGAAGGGGGCGACACTGGCGAGGGCAGTTCTAAGGTCAGGGGCAGGGGCGAGGGTGAGGCCCGGGGCTCCGAGGTTACCAGGAGTCCCGGGGGCGCAGAGCTGCCAGGGAACCAGACACCCAGCCCTCGAGCCAGGCACGTGGCCGGGGAGGAGGGGGTCACCTCGGGCTTCACTAGGGACGTCAGTCGTGAGTCGGAGGTGCTGTTCAAGGCATGCTCTTTTCGGGAGACCCCGCCCGCGGACGGCTCCGACTGCACATTCCCCATTTCCTGTGGAGATCGAGATTGGGGGTTGTGATCAGAAAAGTTACCAGTCAGTGAGCCAGGGCTGCAGGGACCCCAAGGTACAGGCTGTTCTTGGACTTCCCCGTCTGCATTGGCCCTGCCCCTGTCCTCCAATATCCACTCAGCCCCAGTTTCTAGTCGCCTGTTCCTGAGTCTCTCTTGCCTTTCTCATGGTCCCTCATAGCCTCTGTTTAGATACTTAGGTCCCAACCCCTTTGTGTATTAATGTTCCATTTTGTTCTCTTAATTTAGAATCACATCTCTACTGTTTGGCCACATCAGGATCTCCAGGCTTCAAGACTCAGATCTTGTGGGACAGGGTGGCTCACATCTGTAACTCCAGCACTCTAGGAGGCTGAGGCAGGAGGATCGCAAATTCGAGCCTAGCCTGGGCAACTTACCGACCTACTCAAAAATTTCTTTTATAAAGCTGGAGATGTAGCTCAGTACAAAGGCCCCCCCCCGGGGGGGCATCTTGCCAGTTGTTCATTCTGTCTTTCAGGCTACACAGTTGATGGTAGTGCCCAGGAGCTCAAGCTTTTCTCCCTGCACTCTAACCGCGCTCAGGAGGACAGGGCGCTGCCCCAATTTTAAGGGAGTGGACCCCTCATCCCTGCCCTCCTCTCCTCCAGTGTGGCCTCGCCCCTGCCTAACAAATACTGTGCCAAGTATCCTGATCAAGTTAATCCCTCCGTGCTTAGCTCTGACCCTTCCAATCACCCATCCTCTCTATCATTTGGATCCCACCCTCTTCCCAGGCACCGGCAGATCCTCAAGCCTCACTCCTGTACTTCTTTTTCTACTCGAGTCTCCACACTCAGGCTCCACCCCTCTCCCCGAACTCCTCTTTGGCTCCTCCACTCTGGAGACTCCACTCACTGACTCCTCCAGCCGACCCAAGTTCACACCGCAGCGCCCTGGGCCCAGAGCAGGGCGGGGAACGGCTGTCGTAGAAAATAACGGAAAAGAACGGGGATAGGGTGAGTCTAAGTGGGCGAGACAGCCCTAGTAGATCCCGAGGTTTAGGCCCCGCCCCCTAGCTCGAGGCCTTGCCTCCGGACCCAGTTTGAGACTAGACCCTTACTAACCTGGCTCTCCCTTCTTCCCAGCCCCAGGTCTTCTAGTCCTAAGCCCCACCCTTTTAGAATATTTTGTTAGCCCCTCCCCCTCAGAATGCACCGCCCCTCGTTATCCTTCTGAAGCCCCGCCCACGGCAAACTCTCTACGTAGCTCCTCCCTTTTGCCCCGCCCACAGGGGAAGGTACCCTTAAAGCTCCGCCTTTTTAGGGCTGGCTGCCTCTCTGCAAGACCTACTCTTCTTCCTCCTTGCGCCCAGAAGGCCTGTCCACCGTGGACCCGCCCCTTCCATGACGCATCCTCTTGCCGTTTCCTCGCTCAGACCCTCCAACCCCTCCCTCTAGCGAAGGCACCCTGTTCGCCCCACCCCTTTCCAAACCCAGCCAGGCCCACGGCCCCTCCCATTTAGAGCCCAAATCCGAGACCACCCGCTTCAGGGGCCAGAGACCAGGCCCTAACTCAGTGCCCTCGTCGGATCCTCACCAGGGACCAATGGGGCAGAGTGGTGGGAAACTGGGGAATCTCCTCTGGATCCTGAGAAAATGGGGACTGGGGAGTTATTCCTTGGATCCGGTGCCGGGCTCTAGGACCCAGCGGGCAAACGT